GGGAAGTCGTCGGACGTCTTGGGGAAATGGCAGGGAAGTCATCGGACGTCGCGGAAGTGAAAAGGGGAAATCGTTGGACGTCCCTGGACGTGGGTCGGGCGTCCGGGGTGTAAACGGAAGTCGTAGGATGTCCCTGGACGTGGGGGGGATGTCTCGGGAAGTGGCACGGACGTCGGTGGAAGCAACTGGGGAAATCTGGGGAAGTCTTCGGACGTCAATGGAAGAGAGATCTTGACTTCCGGCGACTTCAAAAAATGTTACATTCTGGAATTTTCCCGGAAGTGGGGGCGAAGTGGCTTCGTCCGCTGAGTTCCAGACTGGAACTCCCAGCTGGCGACTTCCCTGCTCTTCCCAAAATTCCCATGAGGGAGTTTCGCCATTTCTATCAAAAAGCACGCAGTTTCCGCATTTTTGTCCTGGCGGGCACGGAAATGCTTTTAGGTATTTTTTATGGTTGGGCTAGTGAGGTACAGTCACTAAGTCACATTAATAACCTCAAAAAGGTTCAGGAGGGATCTGCATTGAAATATTACAGGAAGTTTGGAGGTTAGAGGTGGGCCTATATTTAACGACAGATCGTTCCTGAAACCGTTTTTCCCGGTTTTCAATGGTGATTAGTGACTGCACCTCACTAGCACAACCATGAAAGTTACCCAAAATGTATTTCCGTGCCCCCGAGGACGAAAATGCGCAAACTGCGTGCTTTTTGACTAGAAATGGCGAAACTGCGTGTTGTTGCACAAGCTGCTGAAAGTACGTGAGTTTTGAGAAGCGTCTCCGAAGTAGGTGTCTGTTGCTAGGAGGTATCGATCGGTTTGAAGTGAGTCCATTGTCCCCCTTCTAGCACAGTTTGTGTGGGTGAAATCGCCCACAAATCAAGTTTAGAGCGAAGCGCCTCAGATGAGGCGGTGTGCAAAAGCGACATGTTTAGAAAATGTGCTTTTCTGCTGGATTGACGGTCAGCTTGGATCTCTTGAGTGTGTTTCCTGTTCGAGCGCCGCCTGAAGACTGAGGCCGTCCGCGTGCTCTGCCTCGCTTTATACCTCTCCCTCTCATCTTGTTTACCAGGTTTTTACCCGCTTCAGAAAAGTGTAGTTTTACACTGTTTCTTAGCGGGACTTCACCTGACGCAGCATCAGCAAGGATGTGACTGCCAGCGCGAAGGGCTTCACGCCCTACGGCGTTAGCCCCTTGTTTCAGGTAGGGGAAAATGTGCGGAACAGTCCACCTAGGAAGCTTCCGATACCCGCGCCCTTCTGTTTTGATGAGCCCGCATAAAAGTTCACCCCAGACCCTGTCTGGGCCTTTTTACGTAATACTCCTCAATGTGTGCCATGATTGTACTAAACGCGCTGTCTGAAGTGACACAGCAAGGTCGACGTTCCGTGATCAAATGGCACAAAACTGCCCGTGGTGTCCTTATATTGACTTCCAGGGTGTCGAAAAACTTTTTTCTCAATTTAAAATAGATGGGCGGGTCCCTCTGTGAGGGACATTCCACCATATGTTTTCTGTGTATCGACGGGGATTGTGCGAAGTAACGGAGCACGTGTGTGCCTACAATTTGGTCTTCAATGATGTGAGATAGACATAAAGCTGAGGACAAACGCCCAGACTTGTCTCGACAGGGGACGTACCTAAAAGTTCTTGGTTTTTTGAGTATGGTCCGGGGGGAAGCAAGCCCAATTGCATTGCAAGGCGTGGTGAAAATGAATATTTTGCGTCTGGTGCTTTTAGAAAAGGGTGGAATAGAATGTATCCGTTTTCGGTTGCTCAACCCACTGTCCGTCCATTGCCATCCGGCATTTCTTCGATTGGTGTGAAGTGCGAACAAATTTTTCTCGCGTTATATAGTGTCCCCGGGGTGACCGAAAATGCATCTATTTCGCCATCAGAATATTTTATTAAGTTTTCTCCGTCGGGCACTTGTGTGGCGACCGCCGGCCCGGTAGGCCCCCTCGCCTACGGAAGTCCATGGGGTTTCCTACCCGGGGCCCGGGGGTCGCCACACTTGTTAATTGGGTTTTGGATAGTGAATATCCAGAAGAGCCACTTCCCTTCTTCATGCAGTTCTACTCGTTCGGAAAGTTGTATTTTGTAGTTTGATGTTTTGTATCAGGATACACCTTTGGGCTAGCATTGCTCGGGAGTGTCATGTAAAAGTCCATTATGTTTCTATTATATCTTTGTTAAAAAAACCCCAAAAGCGAGTTGAACGGGGTAACCTCTCCAGTGGACGAACGATTCTTTTTTGACACCCCTTTTCCCCCTTCCTTGACTATATATGCAATTTTGTAAAGCTCAGGCTTTTGACGGGACTAAGTTCCCAAG